AATTCGTTTTAAATTACCAGAAACCATCCACACATCTCCATGTGCATGTCATTGCCACACACGATAGTCAGCTTAAATAATGCAACTACAAAACATCGCGTCAGCTTTAGTGCACGAGCTGCGGGCACTCCGATTGGTCGGCCGATGACGCGTCACATCCTTTAACCTAACAGGGTAATGAACCGGTAGTGATTTAATAGTGGTCACGTGTCTGTATAGAAACTTTTTTCTGAATCTGTCAAACGCAATGAAATACGTTCCGACAAACACCGCTGCACACGGGTGCAAAATGTTGGTTTAATTCGCGGTTTGGTTTTTGAGTTTTGGCGATTTCTTCGACCCCACCCTCCCGGCTATGAGGCGATTCCAGTGCCCGTTTGTTTTGCGGAATGCCAAGTCGGTGCATAGTTCGAGTAGTCGCTAGAGTTGAATAGAATGATTTACATTGAATAAAATTGCATTCACCTATGCGAAACTTGATATTCTATGTAATAAATAAAAAAAAAAAAAAAAATCGCACGTCAATATGATTTCTCGGTAATTTAGAATGCCACATGATCGGACATAAAAAACCGATTGCATTGGATTGAATAATCTTCTGAAAATAAAAGTGTTTTTTTGTCAAATTTGATGCTAAACGAACGCGACATGTCTTGTTGTCTGCTATGCCAAAAATTAGCACTCGGAAGCAATCGGTTATTTTTTTTATAGCGGCTGTGGGAATTGTTTACCAGGTGGCGCTATCACATCCTAATGCTATTGGTAGACGTTCTATTTACGCGCTCCAACAATTAATGATGGCTGGAGGCAATTTTTATCATATCTTAGGAATAGGCATTTACGCTTCATTTGGAATAGAATTTGTGCAAAGGCGACAGTCAGTTTCGGAGATTAACTCCTGATATTATTATACAATATTTATATTTACCTGGAATGTTTATTCAAGATTTAGCGAAAAGGAATTGTAACTCCGTATTGTAAAATGTTTTGATCCAGTTATGAATGTATAGTAATTACATAAATGTTCATGATTTTATATAGATACATGTAATTAGGCGAATCCAAGTTGGTTCACCCAACAAAAATCAGCGCTTTCATTGTTCCACTTTGCTACGGATAGTCACTATTGGCGAAGCGATCGACATCATGGACCGTTTTTATACTAAGACTTGTTCTAATAAAACAATACATCTGGGACAAGTTCATTTCAAGGCTGTAACTCATGCAAAATTCTTCTAGCTGATGCTTGAATGGGTGCAACAGACCGGCAGATGGACAAATACTGGGCCACAGAGTGTTCAGTGTAGCCACGAAAGCCACTTTTCACGCAATAAACAATGCTAATTAATTCGTGGCAGACACGAATGTTGTATGAGAATTGTTACCCAAGCATCGTTCTTGAATTCGCAGTGTCTCTTTATGCCGGTAATTACGCTGCGTGCCGATATATCGATTCTTGTAGGCCTCCTTGAGTGGTAGATGCAACGACTGGAAATCATACGATCATGCAACCTCAGCTTCCTAAAAAAATCAGAGGATTGACATTCAATGACAGAATTAGAAATAAAACCTGATACAATAATACAAGTACAACGTCTTAGCAGTAGAATTTAGCAATAGCAAGACTATTCGCCGACTATTAGTCGCGACGACGAGATTTAACGAAAGCAGGGACCTTCGACTGTGTCTGTCTGTGTGTGTGTGTGGGGGGGGGGTAACAAGGGTTAGGGATAGGGTTAAGCCTAGTATTGCCATGACTAAAATTTGAACAAGAGCTAGGCTTAAGTATAGTATTGACGTTAGTATTACGAACTAGAATGAATTCGTTATTTGCAATCAAAAGTTTCTATTTGCTAAATGTGCTGTTCCTTCACTAAAAAATGTCGCCAGATTTGTTCTCAACTTACACATTAACTTCTCCGAGTCCAACTTTAGCGCAATCTACACAATAAATGACACTCTACGACATTCTGCACTGCAGTAGGCACGAGAAGACGAGTGAAAATTAACTGCCCGGCACTCGCAGGTCATTAATATTTGAAAATGTGGACATTTCCGGAAACATTTTTTTCAGCGTGACAGAGAACAGACCACTATTAAATTCTCCATAGGATCCTATACTTAAGAATTGAATTTCAGGAGCTGAAAAATAGTATTTCGGTCGTTTTCGGCCGAGTGGCAATATTAAAGCTAGGTGGCCATGTACATCAGCTGTGCACCATGAGAGTTATGACATATGTTGTCCAGCGTTTTAAAAAAATATCGCAAATTTACTAACCGACACCACATTTGTGCCTGAAAAACAGTCGAGCAGTCGAATGGTGGCCATACATTGAAAGAACTCGTTTTAAATTACCAGTAACCATCCACCCATCGCCATGTGCATGTCATTGCCACACACGATAGCCAGCTTAAATAATGCAACTACAAAACATTGCTTCAGCTTTAGTGCACGAGCTGCGGGCACTCCGATTGGTCGGCCGATAACGCGTCACATCCTTTAACCTAACAGGGTAATGAACCGGTAGTGATTTAATAGTGGTCACGTGTCTGTATAGAAACGTTTTTTTTATCGGAATCTGTCAAACGCAATAAAATACGTTCCGACAAACACCGCTGCACACGGGTAAAAAAAGTTGGTTTAATTCGCTGTTCGGTTTTTGAGTTTTATTGAAATTTATTCGACAATTTTAATCTAGGTCTTTGGTCAGAGTCGATCATAGTTTGGACCGAGAGACATCGTTAGAAGAGAATGAGGTAGACATATTTTTGGTAGAGCGAGCGATATAAGAGCTAGACGATGTGGCGGCGACGTGCGTGTTGGACTGCTCTGAGTGATCGGTGGCCGCGTGTGTTGCAGGCGGTGCAGGACGCGGGCCGCATGCTGATGCAGGAATCGACACTGGACACCGAGGAGATTCAGAACCGCCGGCCACCGCTGCGCAGCATGTCCTCACATAGGTACGACCTTCACACCGCCGAGGGGGTTGCCGGTAACGTATTTCCGGCTTTCCGCGACGAGCATTACTACTTTCACGTGCTGTGGCCAACCTAGGTCCGCAAACGGGAGAAAGTTCCCCCAGTTCTGTCTGTCAGGGCGGTAGGGAGAATCGTTATAGCGTACAGGAATGACCCGCGTGCACTGCGTATAGGCGCGTATGTGAAAGAATGCAGCGCGTCTCTGGAGAGATTTAACTTTCATGTTGTCGTCTGTGCTCTGCAGGGGCCAGAAGCGTGCCTGGCTCACCTACCAGCAGTTTGTGGCCAACGTGGAGGAGGAGGAGGCCTGGATCAGCGAGAAGTCTCAGCTGATGTCGTCCGAAGACTACGGAGACACGATGGCTGCTGTGCAGGTGCGTCGAAACGCAGGCCAGGCGTGCCGCAAAAAAATGCAAGGTTAGAACAATGGGCGGCTTCCCACGTGGGAACCGTGGGGTGGGGTCGCAGCGGAATGCACGATGATGACTAAAAACAACCGAACATCTAAATCTGATGTATTGTGATGACACGTGATATGATTCTGGTGGTGCATTCCGGAATGCGATCATTAGTGGGTAACTCTTAAAATATACTACCAATATTAAATATACTCAAAATATTAACAGCCGAAGGAGTTTATCGTAATTACTTAATTTATGTTATAATCAATTGTTTATTAACTTTATTACTTATTATTACTCTATGTTTGCTGCATATTTTCAGTTAAATTTGTACCGAATGCAAAATTCGTGGTCCACCATTCACTAGAAATCATTTTTTAATGGTTTCACGAACTCTCGATGATTGTTTGCTCGCAATACTGTTGCGTGTGCGTGTGAGGTTGAACACGAGGTTTTTGCACGCACGTGTTAGGGTCTGCTGAAGAAGCAGGAGGGCTTCGAGACCAAATTCGCTGTTCACCGCGACCGCTGCAACGACATCAAGACGTTGGGCGAGAAGCTCATTAAAGAGGTGAGTGTGCTGATGAACCACGGTCCGCATTACGACCGAACGCATGCACGTGACAGTTAACCCCATCACCTGGGGCCACAATTAAAAAAAACTGTATTTGCGCTCACCCGACCCAGGCCCGTGGGCCGACGTAGGTGGCCTGCTGTTCGCTCTGGAAAGCGACGTGTCATTCAAATTTCACTTGAAATTTGTACGTACAATACTCATATACTCGGGTCACTTATTGTTCTTATTATGTTTGCTAATAAATAATAATGTTAAAAATAATTAATGTCAATTATGCTGCATCGCTCGCAAAAGAACCGTCACTTATTACTCTAATTATGTAAATAATGCTAAGTAATATTGCATTACGTAAGGACAACCATCACTTATCACTATGTTTTTATCACTAACGTTTGTTAATTAATAATAAATGTTAGTTAATGTCATTAATATTTGCACAGCTTGCAGGAGAACCATCATTCACTTATCACTACGTTATTGTGTTTGTTAATTAATAATAAAAAATGTTAGTTAATGTCATTAATATTTGCACAGCTTGCAGGAGAACCATCATTCACTTATTACTACATTATTGTGTTTGTTAATTAATAATAAAAAATGTTTGTAATTAATTCATTAATATTGCAGCGGTGCAGGTAGAACACATTCACTTATACTACGATTATTGTGTGTTTGTATCAACTAATAATAAACGTTAATAATTGTCATTAATATTTACAACGGTCGGCTGCAAGGAGAATCGTCATTCACTATTAACTCACATTAATTGTGTTTGTTAAATCCAACTGAATAATAAATAGTTAATTAATGTCATTTAATGATTGCAGCGCTTTGCAGGAGGACCATCACTCTGGGAGACATCCGTCAGCCGCATCGACACCTCAGGCGAAGTCAGCGAACGATCTGAACAGTTGAAGGCAGATTTGGCACCGAAAGAATTAAACCAGAAAAAAAAAACAAATTTTTTCAAACGCCACACTTTATGCTCGCACAGCGAAGTGATACCAACCTCTCGCGAACTTCTTGTTTCAAGCACCGGTTCTACAAACTTGAAACCCGTGAGCCAACCGGCCATCACCCCGTGTGGTCGGAGACGGCTTGCAGTTCTTTGCAATTTGATCACGACTGGTCTGACGTTCAAGGGCCTCGGACAAAATTATGCAGTGCGGGATTGTAATTATATCGAGTCGAAGAACCCTCAATTTACGTCCATTAATGCTTAAATGCACCATGTTAAATTGCGAACGAACGCCGGCTTGCGATAGGTTTGTTGAACAGCTCTAAGACCTAATTGAATCGATAATCGGTCGTGGCGGATTGCTTGACGATTTTCACCAACACGGGATCCACATTGAAGACGTCGCGTGTTTGTGGTGCCAACATGACACCTAAACTTACGAATAGCTCGAATCGACGTATTGACTGAGCAGGAATAATTCACGAGGCTTTGGTTGTTTTCAGGCCCAGGGGGAATGAACATAAAACATTAATTACGTGTGATTCTTTGAGTATCATGTTCGCGTCGTTTGTGTGGTGTTGTGTGTGTGTGTGTGTGTGGTGTGTGTGTGTGTGTTGTGTGTGTGTGTGGTGTGGTGGTTGTGGTTGTGTGTGTGGTGTGTGTGTGTGTGTGTGGTGTGGTTGGTTGTTTGTGTGTGTGTGTGTTGTGTTGTGTGGTGTGTGTGTGTCTCTGTGTGGTGTGTGTGGTGTGTGTGTGTGTGTGTGGTCGTCGTGGTGGTTTTGTGTGTCCTATATATACTAGTCCATGCCTTAGGATGGTCAGAACTTCTGTTACACATCACAGACACAACACACACACACACACACACACACAAACACACACACAAAACACACCACACACACACACACACATACACACACAACACACACCACACTACACCACACACAGCACACATACACACACAACACACACACAAAAATTCGCCGCGCACGTGACACACGACTCATAGATGACAACCGCCTTGGTTAGTAGCTAATATGCACACACAACATGACACAACCAAGAGCTAATATTAACAAACACAATGATATATAGCTCCTTGATACAAAACGCCGCAGCCAGCATAACACAACACACACATCACGCAGTAGCACAAACACAAACACATCCCGCCGCACGCAATGGACCACACACACACACATCCACACACACACACACACACACAAACGGCGGCGCACACACGACACACACCCACACCACAACCACACCGCGCCCGCGCTGCATAAACACAGCACATGCACACACACACACACACACACACAAACACACCAACAACACAACACGCAAACACACATACACAGCCCCCCGACCGCGCGCCGGCGCGGCATAAACACCACACACATACACTCATACAGCAAACACCATACACTACAACCGCACATAGACAAACACCACACATACACTACGACGCTACACACACGCACACACACAACGGCACACACGACACACACACACACACAAGACTGCACCACACAACACAACACACAAACAGCGCGCGCGGCGTCGGCGCATCACATCACACTAACTAAAAAAATAAGATAGCTGTAAGATAATTATTAGAGTCAGTCGAACGTTGTCAGTTTACGTTTCAGTTGAGAATGCTTACGTGCGACATCAGGATTTTCTGACAGGGGCGAACTTTTTTGCGGGCGGTACTTGTCAAATGCTAATATCTCGCGTGATACAGTGAGTGACTTGTCTGGTGCATTATAGCGGCACTTGTATAACCATATGTTTGGCCGTTGAAAGTTGACTATGTTATAAGCGAATGGCGCTCATTAAGAAACAATGTAAAAAAATGTATAATTTTCCTGATTGATAAATGGACGATCTTAAGAAAATCTTAGATGAGCGCATTTGTATCATTGTTTATACATTCGCCATGTGTTTTTTCGTGTGTGACGTTGCAGCACTCGGCGCTGCGTGCAAAAATTTCCTCAACTATTAATGTTTTCGAACGGAATTGAAAAAAAATGAAACTGAAGAAAAAATAGTGCACATGCAACGGTCATGATCTGTAAAATGTTTCCGACAATTTTGAGAGGATCCGTTGAGCGGTGCGGAATCAAGTAAAGCGGAACAAATGTACCACACACAGCACAAAATTCCAATAAGTAAGTGTCATGATCTGTAAAAGTGTCGTACCAATTTGGAAGTAGACCGTGCAGCGGTGGGGCGGAACAGTAAACGGCGGAAAACACATACATACACACACACACACACAATACACACACACGACACACACACACACACAGAAATCTCCAATTTATAAGTAAGTATGGCGTGTTCGTCATGTCGTTCCGTATCTCATGGCATGCGCGAATATGTGTAATTCATCTTATTTGTGATTATCTAATAATAATGATTTGATTATGCTATAACGCATTGTATTTGTTTTTGATATCTTGATTTCTATTCAATGTCTGACTGCGACGACTGATAAAGAGATTCATCTCGAAACTTGTCAATTAAAACTTGTAACACCCTATTCTAATACTTGACGTTTTTTATATTACAACCGGTTTCCGTCTGTGTGACTCTTTACTTCTATATAATATATATAATAATAAAATATATATAATATATATATATATATTATATAAGATACTATAGTAAGAATATATATAATAAAATAAATATATATATAATAATATATTACTCATATATTTATTCATTCCAGTAATATACTATCTATAGTAAACCAGTGCTCGAAACTAACTAAACTCCCTCTACACTCATTCCTCTTCTGTAGCTCACGTCGCCCGCGTAACAAACCCAACATCAATTCACTGCGCCATATCATTTTGTTCCTCCGATTCTATTGTGCTCTACGAAAATGCCGCCAGAAGCTTGCACGGCGGCGTTCTACGTGACGATACATCCTGACATCGTTTACACATAATAATATTATGTTACACTATTTCGGTGGTGCGTTCGAGTGCGGCGGCAGCGAACATGTCTTAGCTAATTAGATCTGTGTTTTTGCCGTAATCCTGACCATATCGCATTGTACCGGTAACGTACTTGTTGCGTATGCTAGCAGTACGCGCACCGTACGCGCATTCGACGACTGCGCGCGTACAATCGGCACGGGCGTACCGTCGACCGTATCGTCGACCGGAAATCGTTACTGATTTCACACGCGCCGTCCGCTATCGCTATCTGCCAATCGTCTTGCTTTAATCCTAAGCAACAGGCTAGAAAGTAGTCTCGTTCATAAAGTTGTGATATCACTGTAAAGATAAAACATGCGATGTGAGATGAACGCGTGTGACCTCTGCCGGATGTGAGTTAATTGAAGGCGATTTTTTACATATTAAAACACAAGCTCACAAAAGAGCATAAGAATATTAAATTGTGTTATTTATGGATTGGTCTGTGGATTGCAGGTGGCCAGCGCGGCTAAACCTACGCGGTGTAAAATATTTATCTAATATATACTCATTTGCCATTTTACTCATCTGACAATAGTCAATGCAGCTGTAGAATCGCATATTGTCGCGTGCGTGCGTGCGCGGATTCCGTGCGTGCGTGCGTCCGTCAACCATGGCAGCAATCTAAACGACTCGACGGACGATTACGCAAGTCGGGACGTAGGTATCCGAAAACGAGGTTGGGATGATCGAACGGGGTCCAAGGTCAAAGGTCAAGAGGTGGGCAAAAGAAGGGGGAAACATTCCCGTCCGTTAACTAAGTTATAGGGAGAAATGCAGAATTGCGGCACAAATTAAACGCTCGACCTAGTGGCTCGTGATAGTCGGCTGTTAATAGGGCCATCATGGAAAAGCCAGTCACTTGTGCGAAATTGGAGTCACCCGGTCAAAGGGGCAGGTGCGGCAAAATCAGATATCAGGACATTTCTGAAGGCACGTGACCTAACGACAAAGTGAAAAACTTTTTTTGTTTCAAGCACTGACCTACCATTTTAATCCCTTATTGAAAGGGACCAAAATGAAGTGTGCATGGCCCTTAACGGACGAAAACAAACCCGCTTGGCGAAGGGTAACACACTAACAGGCGAAAATAATAACCTCGCTGGCGGAGGTAACAAACGAACAGGGGGGGGCAAAAAAAACATAACCTCCTTGGCGGTGGTAACAAGACGAACAGGTGGCGAAAACCGCATAACCTCCTTGCAGAGGTAAATTAACGAACCAAGTGGGGCAAAAACATAAACCTCCTTGCAGAGGTAACAACGAACAGGGGCGAAAACATAACCTCCTTGCGAGGTAACAAACGAACCAGGGGCAAAACATAACGCTCCTTGGCGAGGTAACAAACGAACAGGGGTGAAAACATAACTCCTTGTCGGAGTAACAAACGAACAGGCGAAACACATAACTCCTTGGCGAGGTAACAAACGAACAGGGGCGCCAAAACATAAACCTCCTTGACGAGTAACAAACGATGCAAAGGGGCGAAAACTTACTCCTTCGCAGAGTTTAACAACTAACAGGGACGAAAACATAACCTCCTAGCGGAGTATATAAATGACCTCACTTGTGCTCAATAACGCGGCTCGTTCCCTAATAAATAATATTCTACGCGAATAGATTTATTCGCTGAACATTCACTCTTGCTCATCGTCGGATCTTCACTACCGATAAATCGGCGCACTGCGGGTGCGTTTAAATCGTCGCAGCAATTGAGAACTTTTGAACGGGGCGTGCCAACGCGAATTGATAAACCAGAGCACACAGCCCTCCGTCGTTCTATTTGGCGCACAGTACAAGCGCGGCAGCGTGGGCGGAGGTCTTGTAAAAGCGGTGACGAGGAGCAACTATTCCCTGACAGTTACCGAGGATCGTTGCACGTACGAGTTGGTACACATGCCTTTCGGCTGCATGCGCTGCAGCAACACCGATCATCACCCCAACAGCTAGTTCCCGAGGAATTT